GGCACCTGAGTTCTCTTTCCAGAGCTGCCCCTTCAGGGTTGTGTTCTCATCCTGTGCGAGCCTCAGTTTCCCCATATGTACATTGAAGGGGTTGGACCAGAATCAGCCCTTCCTACACTGAATTAGACTAACTAGACTGCAAACTTACTATATAACCATGGACGGGGTAGCCTGGGTGTATTTCTGAAAAGAAATTTGGGGATTAAGTCTCTGTGAAGGTTAGCTCCGATTTTAGCCTTCTCTGGAATTAGGAAGTTAATTCTACGCTGTTGCTAGCCTGTGAGGGCTCCCTACGGGAACAGGGCAACGCTAAAAGCCAGGAATGCAGACAGCTCGTGGTCAGCGTAAGGCCCTAACCTGTCCTGCCTTGCTGCACTATCTGAATCCCCACCACACACGACACTGACTCAACCTCACCCTCTTTCAAGTCCAGGAGAAAGACTCATTTTGGTGCGGTACAACTATGTCCCTCCCCACACACTTGGAAATCACTTCTGAATGAAGAGAAAGCAGGTCTCAGGCTGAGAGCAGTCCAGCAACACTACAATTGCAATTTAATGGCACTGCGTGGATGTCACTGCTGTATTTTTGTTTTTGGCTGCCTGCCTTTATGACTTATGATAGTGGTTTGACACATTTGGTAGCAAGAGTTTCCTTTTAAAGAAAGTTCCGTTTTCATGACTGCATAATAACTCATTGTGCAGATATACAGGCATTGAGAATATTGGTGTTTGTTTGCTTTTATTCTTTTTACTCTTTGCTATAAGTGTAGGGCTGTTTTTTAAAAAACAAAAAGATTTAAACAACCTAAATGCTCAACTAGGAGAGAATGGCTAAGTACAAATTATTGCATAAAAATAACCAGCCAGCCTATACAGCAACATGGGGGCAAAACAGGGTAAAATAATTTTTTAAAAGTGGAATGCTAAATTCTTCCATACCATGGACAAAGATGTCAAATTTGCATAGGGAGAGGATCAAGAAAGGAACATGGAAAAAAAGCTGATACACCTTTTAAAAGCAACTTTATGGTTGTTACAGTGCTACTTATGTAATAATATTTTAATCTTAGTTAAAGACTGATTGAAAGGAAATCATTAGCTAACAGTGTGGGTAGTTTGTGGAGCTGGAATAAAAATCACAAAGATAGCAGGCAAATGGGTGAAGTTACACAACAATGAAATCAAAAAATCTAAAGACCTCACTAATTGCAGCTGATGTGATTAAGTGCCAGCTTTTGAAGTGATCAATCCATGAACCTCTCAGATCATGGAGATAGGGCCCACACTCACCATGGCACTGCCCCTAGCCTCCTGGTAGGTCACCTTGACAACATCTGTGGTGCTGGTGTTGAGAAAGAAGTAGCCAGAACCTTCTCTGATGTGCAGTTCCACCTGTAAGGAGGGTCAGGCTAGGTGTCAGAGGCAAGGGCCACCAACTCGATGGGTCGTGTCCGGGAGGCAAGGTGGCAGGGAAAGGGCTGTACCTGCACTTCAGGGTGGTTGTAGATGGTCACCTCTTCTGGACTCACCCTCACATCTTCCACCAGGATGAGTTCTATGGAGGCCGACACAGGCACGAGAGGGTCGTACTGAAGGGGTAAGGCCAGCACATCAGATCCAGGAGGCAACAGGCCAACCCTAAGCAGCCCATGGGCCGCCTCACAGGAAAAGTAGGCCCAGAGGCCCCAGCTCCTCATGTCACCCCAGGGTACTTGTTATGTCTAAGACACAAGCTCCAATGAACTCATCATGCCAACCCAACTGAGAAGCCATCCCATCTTATAATCCTGCCAAGGCAGGTGCCCTCATCCTTCCTGCCAGGCACCATGCAATGGACAATTCACACGCACACCTGGAAAATGGAGAAAACACAACAAACAGCCAGCTGCAATGCTGTGTGCAAGGGGTGGGTGTTATCTAGGCAGGATGATTCTGGGAGAACCCTTCCCACTTACCTCACATGTACCCATCTGCCATCTACTGGCAGCACCTCTGCCTGGGCCCCCATAAGATGCTGGGTTGAGGAGGTATGGTCCAGTAGGTGGACCATATGTGTATGCATGGCAGCAACAGTGTATTTGTGGAGGGGGGTGGCCTGCACCTTGAGTGGGGAGCACAAGGGGCCCTGCGACCTGGGGCAAAAGAAGCTGCTCTGTGCCCAGGGTTCAGGGAACTCTCCGCAGAGGTGCAGGTGTTATGGATGGGACTAAAAGGACAGGAGGCCAGCTGGTAGAGAAAAGTAAAAGGAGAGGATGGCATTCTAGGCAGCAGGAACTGAGGGTTCAAAGGCATGGGTATGCCAGGTGGGGTCCATAAGTCAGGACCATTGAAGAAGAGGCTGGATGCACAAGCCCTGAATGACAATGAGGATGGCTTTCCCCAAAGGTCTGAGAGCTCCCAAAGCTGCATGCCAGAGCTGAGAGGTAGCAATGGATGTCTCCAGTCACCTGAGTGCAGGATATATGAGGTGGGGGAGACAAGAGGCAGGAGGCCAGGGAGGAGGCTCACCAATTCAGGTGAGCTCACCACACCCTATTCAGGGAGGGGTTAGGGAACTGAAGGCATGGCCTACGGAGCAGGCTCAGGACACTAGGAAACCAGGAGAATGCGGGAAGAAGCAGGAGGATTCCCCACCACCAGTAGGCCCTGGGAAATACCGGCTGCTTTGCTCTGGCTGCATCGAGGTGGGACTGCTGGTAGCCAGTCACAGTGGCAGAGATGGCTGTGGTTCCCGATGCCTTGTGAACAGAAATGGCCTGCAAACCTAAGTCCAGGAAGAGGGAAACCCATGTCATATTTTCGTCTCATTGCTGCCTGTGAAGCAGCCCCTCCCTCCTTCTGATTTGCAGTTTCAAATCTCCCACGGTCCTAAAAGTACATAACTGGGTTTGTTTAAACTGTATGTACCAATAGAGTTAATGTTCCATGAAGCAGCTTAGACAAGCTGGAGAAGACAGACTCAACTCTTGGCTATTGAGGTGTTTGTGAAGGCAGTGTGGCTCAGAGTGGCACAGTCCTGGAGCCAGGCTGATCTATATATAACCTGGGACTTGAGGATGACCTGTGATGTGCCCTGAAAACAGGGATTCTAGTTTCTACCTCACAGAATGTCTGTGCAGAATTAAAGGAGAGCAGTGAGCTCATAATGCTAAATTTTTGTCCTGGATAAAGAGGAGTCCCAGATAACAGCTCCCAACAGTGCCAGCACACCTCAGCACACCTCTTATCTGTCAGGTTTCACTGCTCTCCAAGCTCCTGCCCTGGGCCAACCAGCTCACTACCCCAGCTCACCATGCAGCTTCTTCTGGCCGCTCCCATCATCCTGGGACACCAGCTGCATGGGCAGGTCAAGCTCAATGCTGGCCAGCAAAGGCCTGGTAGATTCCCACTGGATGCTCAGAGAGCTGAAGTTGTTAAATCTGCGGCCCTGCTGGTCATAGGCAGCCAGGTCTAGCACGGGGTTTCGGTGGCTGGAGACTGGAACCTGCAAGAAGTCAAGATCAGGTGCCACGGCCACACCCAGACCACACTGGACACGATGTTCACATTGAGTGAAAAGAGAACACCATACTGGCACAGCCACTCCTGACCACATGGTACACCCCAAACCCGGCCAACTGCCTTGTGGGCTCATGGGGGTCCTGATAAGGGACTGGGGACGAGTCACTAACCAATCCTTATAACTGCCTGCGGTCAAGGTGTTCACAGCCCTATGCAACCTGGCCTCTTACTCTAGCCTATGGTCTTCAATGGGGGCAAAAGGGCTTTAGCAATGTCTAGAAGCATTTTTGACTGTCAAACTGCAATGGGTGCAACTGGCATCTAGTGGGTAGAGGTCAAGAGTGCTGCTAAATACCCTACAATGCACAGCAGAGCCCCAGGAGAAGGAAGGATCTGGCCCAAAGTGTCAACTACCCTAAATCTCCCTACCCTAGCAGGCTGCTCTCCTTCCTCTCAGCCCTCATCTTTCCAAATCCTTGCCAGCTCCTCCCTGACTCCCACACACCTTAGCTCCTCCAGGATGTGCCCCCTAGTGGTTTAACAAGAATGCCAATTACAACCCCCAAAATGTCCCAGAGCCACTTGGTTTGCAAATCTCCTTTCAGAGCCAAGTTCTCACCTGCTCCTAAACATCCCAGTGATGTGGGAGCTATCATCCACATATTAAGGATGAGGAAATAGAGTCCCAGGGAAGGGAAGGAACTATCAAAGGCAACTCAAGAGCTGAATGGCACACCATTAGGATTTAGTTCCAAACCCTGAATTCCTACTACCTATCCTCACCACTAGCTCCCTGAACAAACCCGTACCACAGAACCCATGCTGAATTAGCCTCATCTCTCCAGATGCCGTTCCATCCCTTTCTCTCCAAGCCTGAACGGCATAGGGGCAGATAGAGGGGCAGTGAAGCTGAGGCCTCAAGCACCTAGATATCTGGGTCCCACAGCTTACACTCAAACCTTATTAGCTCTGCCTCTTTCCACCCAGGCAAGCTGCCAACTTCTTGAAACCTTAGTTTCTCCCACTGTGAAATGGGAATCACGACAGAATCCACCTCACAAAATTCTGTTTTTAAAAAGGCTCATGTGAGATAATTTAAAAGAGCTTGGCTCATTGGAATTCATGCGCAAAAAGGAAACAGGGCATTCCTTAGCAATGTTCACAAATGTATCCAGTCCTCCATCAGGCATAGGTCCAGAAGGAAGGACTGTACTTCTCTGGTTCTTGTCATTAGGACTGACCATGCCACTTACTTCAGCCAGTGAAATGTGACAAGTAACTTGAAACAATTCCAGGAGACAAATGCTTTAATAGCCAGAACATGATCTGCCATGCTCTCCTTGTCTCCACAGTGGTCCTTGGCCATGTTCAACTTGGCAGAAGCTCATCATCTAGTCTTGGAAAGAAGATAACAATGACACAAAGCAAGGTCCTCCAGTCCACCCAGATGCGTAGGTGGTGTGAGCAGAAGTGAGCCTGTGCTGTGTGAGGCCACTGGGACTTGAGGTTCCTTATTACTGCAGCCTCACCTCGCTTGTCCTGACTGATGCAGACCCCAAACTCTCCACCTTCCCCAGGATGACTCCTACCCCAGTCCTAGCTCTCTTGCCCCCAGAAAACACTGGACCAAAGCATGTTGCAGATTCTAAATGAAGGTCGGCACAACCATCTGGGGATACTTAAAAAAGGATTTTATAAGTATTCTGGACGCAAGTCAGAAGCTATGACTGTGGGCATGTTCTGGATGCCCCACTCCTTCCCCCAGATGCAGTCCTAGGTAGAACACTAATATTCTTTCCTTCCTCCTGCTCTCCCAGATAAGGACATTAACACTGTGTTAATGCACACTTGAAAGCGTACTGAATCCTCCCAATGGCTATTTTAGGCAACAATATTACCCCCAATTTACAAATGGGGAGGCTGAGGCTCACAGATCTTAGTAACTTGCCCGAGGTTACACAGATTTATGGGTGGAACTCTGCAAGCCTGATTTTAAAGCACGCAGTCCTCCCCTGACAGTGTGCAGCCTCTCCCCGGAGCTCCAAAACCCTGTTGGCTATTCAGTCTCCTGGCACGCAACTGGTGCTCAACTGCTAGGACCTGAACATTGGATGATCTGCTCAGAGGACCAGGATCAGGCCATATCATGGTTCCACTTTGTCATTCCAACTGGTCAGCTCCATTCTAGTGTCTGGCCTCGCCAATAATTTACTCTGCAAACATGTCTTGGGCAGTCTCTGGCTTCGAAGAGGTGTAAAATTAAATTGATACTGCACCCAGGACGTGTGGCAGGGATATAGCTTTCTCAAGGTCCCCTAGTGAGATCATAAATCACAGGGCCCATGCCTGATTGGCTCTCAGCTCCGGAACCCCAGGATTGACGTATCACACAGTAATTTCATGTTTGAGGTCCATTCTTTCATGGCAAATGGATCTATACATGCAAGCTTTCAGTCAAGAGAGAACCCTGGGCTACCCAGGGGTCGCAACAATAGACAGCCAGACCTAGCTTGCTTGGCAAGTAGCCGACATTTAAGGACAGAGAAGATACAGGTAAACCTGATTATTTTTTTCTTTGAAAATGAGTTTTGGTCTGCCTGGTGCTGAATGGGCTGGAGCTAAGTAGAGCAGGCTGTCCTTTGGAGGGGTACCTCTCTCCAGATCTGCACCATCCCCCTCCATACCCTTTTTTCAGCAGTGCCTCCACTTGGCTTCTCCAGGCATTTGAGCCAGTAAGAGTCAAGAACGAAAAACAAGAGGGACACAGACACAGTGAGTTCATTTGCACACTCATTCATCCATCACATTTACTGAGCTCTCACCATAATGAGCCAGGCTGTTCTGGAGACTCACAAAGAAAAAAATAAATGTGTAAATTCTACAGCATTCGATAATGTTCAGTGCTTGGAGTAGGGAAGAAAGGTACTGAAATATGAAATGCTGGGGGGAAAAATCTTCAGATAAGGTCTGAAGGCTAGAGAAGCTCCCACTGAGAAGGTAACATTCGAATAAAGAACTGAAGGAGGCAAAATTGGAAGGCATGGGACTGTGGGAGGGGAGAGGATTCAAGCTATAGGCAACGGCAGGTCAGAGACCCAAGCAGGGCACAGTCAAGTGCGCTTGTGGATGACAGGGCTTCCAAGCACAAATGGAGTGGGTGGGAGGAAAAGAGTGATGGGGGCAGGAATCAAGGCCCCACAGGGCACATAAGGGGATTTGGCTTTTCCTCTGGGTGAGTGGAATGCCACTGGTAGTATAGAAGCAGAGAATAATTGGAAAAGTATTAACATTTACCATTCTGAACACCTTATGTCTAGTCACATTTTTCTCCTGCAACAACTCTAGGAGGCACTGTCATCCCATGATCGATCATTCAAAGGAGGCCAGCTCGCATGTGTGGAAGGGCTTGGCCCCTAACACTCAGCCTATGGACTCAAGCTGCAATCCAGCTCCCAGCCTTGCACACAGTAGACCCAGCAGGCAGGGTTTTCCAGAAGAGTCCAGACTTATTATTTTTATTCTTTCCACAAGGAATAATTTGCTAAATACATAAAAGTGATTTAATATATAAAACTTTCAGGACATTCATCTCAATAGTTCTCAAAGTCAGGGAAATAAAAAAGCCTTTTCCTGAATACACACAGATTTTCAGCTTGGGAAAGATGGTCACCTGTTCCATGCCACAAACACCCAGGCCAGAGCTAGGGGTGAATGCTGGCTTCTTGGGGCTCTAAGCCCAGTTTTCCTTACCTGGCAAGAGGGAACAAAGGTGGGATATTCCTTACCTAGTCCCTGTGGGGTTAGGTCTTTGAGGCTGAGCACAAAGAATCCTCATTTTTAGCCAATGCCACTGAGGCACCAACCCTTACTGGACGCACACTGGGGGCAGTAGAGGGAGTCATACATCCATGTGTCCCAGAGTTGAGTGATTAGTAAAACCTGGGAGAAGGCAGAAGCCCACCCATCGACTGCCAGAGCAAAAGGAGTAAAAGTTAAACTAAACCTGCAGGGGACATAGAGGCTGAGTCATGTGCCAGATGGCAGAGTCTTCTCTAGAGCTTCAAAAAGATGCATTCTGACATAATACAAAGCTGCCCTGTCCTTCACCCAGTGGAGAGCTAATTCCCAAATCTCACTGCTGGGGGTGAGAGAGGATGCTGACAGAAAGGTTCCATTAGACATGCAGAGGATATGCACTGAGCATTCTCTGGAGAACTGCAGAGAGCTGAGAGGGTTCCGCTCCTAATGGCTCCAGGAGACACAAGGCTCTCGGCGGGGGCCATCAAGGCAAAGTGCTGCTACATGCAGTGTTGGGAGAAGGGAAGCAGCTTTAGGGGCCACCAAGGAAGCACTGAGCTTAGAGTTGGGCAGATCCGGGAAAACCGTGCCCACCTCTGAGCCTTGTGGGCAAACCAGTAAAAGAGGTACAAAGACCCTGGCCCCGCAGATGGTCCTGGTGATAGGGAATGAGGCACAGAGATGAAAGTTTCTGGCACACACGACTGTTCTGATTACTGTGTGGGTACAGGACACAGAGACCCTTGCTCTTCTCCCTGCCTGTGGTACCCTTACCTCAGCTCTCCTCGGCCAAGGGGCCTGAAGTAGTATGTGTCCTCCACTCAGACGCCTTTCCCAGCTCCATTTGCAATGGCCTCCACCAGTAGCTGTCTTGCTCCCTATTTCACTTCCTCCACAACACTTTCCATCCTCTGATCCATCTGTCTCTCTATGGGCCTTCTGTCACCTCTGTGGGGCAGGTGCCTCACTTGTCCTGATTACTTTGTATTCCAGAACCTAGAACTGTGCCTGGCACAGCGGAGGTGCTCAACAAATACATGTTGAAGGAATGAGTGAAAAGAAACCTAGTCTCCAACTCTGAGAAGAGGTTGGGGCCAGCCAGAAGCATGTTTGTACCCCTGAACCTGAATAGGAGGGCTTCCAAATCCTTCACCTTCAGTCATCTGGTCTCCGAGTGTCTTAGGGGTGGACAGTTGGTTGGCTGCAAGCCCAACAGAACTAGACCTGTGGGTTTCACCTTACCCCCAAATGACTTTTTTCCCTCTCCCCACATTTATGTTCAAAACATGGCCCCCGTGTCTCCTACCCCCGTGAAGGATGCTGCAGTTCATCACCTCGTCTCAGCAGCCTCCACTCTGAACACAAACATACTGCCCATTGATAAGCCCCCACCTTAATATCCTCAAGTCACAGAAGAAAACAATGAGATTTTTATAAATGCCAAGTGCCAAACAGAGAGAGGAAGCTGAACCTGGAATCAGAGACGCTGCACTTTTACCTGGCGCTGTCAGTAGTGGCTGTGACTGGTGAGTCTGGTCACCTCTCCAGGTCTTGGGAACCACATATGTAAAATTGAGACAAAAGCACCCACCATGCAGGGATGACTGAGTGTGGAGATCAAGGTGGCACAGCACCAAGTCATCATTGAGAAATGCTCACTCACCACCTGCTTATTCTGCTGCAACAGTGGACATGACAGGTCCAGCTGAGGACTGGCGTAGATGGGCATCAGGGTGAGCCTAGAGGGTGGGGCACATACAAACTTCACCACAGCAGGCTCCAATGCAGGGAAGGGGTTGGTGATGCTGGGCTTGTTCCCCACCGAGAGGGCAATGACCTGGCAGGGCAGAAGGAACAGTCAGACACCCCCGAGTTTGAGGCTCTGCTCCATTCACTATGAGCCTCACCTCCACCACCCAGCTCCCTGGGACTCAGTTTTCTTTTCTGCAGAATGGGAATAATGATGATTATATATCTAATGAATGAGCAAAGTGTAGTTTCTGGGGATGCATAATTAAGTCTCCTGTGAAATACAACAAAGGCTGGAATATACACACACACACACACACACACACACACACACACACACACACATATATACATACATATATATATATACATATATATATATATGTATGTGTATATATGTATATCTCATAGGGGGGTTACGAAGGTCCAGTGACATGCATGGGAGAGCATCCTCTAAACATAAAGGAGACCTAACGGGACCCTAGTGCCCTCTGCAAACATCGGCCAGAACCACTGCCTACTCCTTTGGCCCAGAGAGGAGCTGGATCAGTGGTGCCATGTGGATTCCCAGCACTCTATGAAAAACCCTATGGTCACATGAGCAAACGCACAAGTTTGTGGGTTTTAAATGAAGAATCCATATTGACTTGAAAACATTCATCACAATGAGGTGCATATGTAAGAGAGTGCTTGCTAACAGACTGAGACCTTTAGAGATGGACCAGAAAAGGGATTACAAAGGGTGAGGTTTCATGGCCCATTCCAAGGGAAGTACCCTGGCCCCCTCAATGTCACACATTTTCTGTAGGAAGGAATGGTCCAGTCCAGAAGCCTCTTGCCCTTACTATGAGGCAGGACAAAAGGCAGTTTCCACGCTGACCTGCAGGGTTTCTGCCTCCAAACTGACATCTTAAGGAAGTAAGTCACAGAGCGTTGGAATGGGAGGGGCCCTAAAGGGTCCAATTCCAATAGCCTGTGAGGGACGCAGGTGACCAAGCTAAACCAGGGTAAGAAACTTCTCTAACTTAATTCTTAACTAAGTTTATCCTCATCATAGTATTATTTATTATTGTGCATTTGTTTTTCTTATTCTTTGTTTAAAAAAAAACAAAAAACAAAAAAAACACACACAAAGCCAGTGGGAAGTGTGGCCTTTCACTGTGTATCTTTTCTGCTCACACCTAGTCTCAGTGTGGCCAGCTTCACAAGGGCACCTTGGTGGCATGTGTGTATGTGTTTTAACATCAATTGATATTCTTTGCACTAGTAAACATGTAAGGATATTCTTCACTTCCCCCAAAGAAATGGGCTCTCTCCTATCTTTCTGGATTCATGCTCACCTCTCACCTTGCTTTCAGTTTCCCAGCTTTGGGGTACCCTGAGAATGAAGGGGTATACTCCTACTATGAGCAAAATGAGGGCCCTGAGCCTAGAGACTGCCAAGAACAGAGCACCTGAACTGCAAGCTGCCCCTCAATTCAGCCGACTCCAGCCCTGAGGTTGTTCAGGTCACAGACACGTTTCGCTCAGTCCACCCAGTTCCGTAATTTTTTGGTTTTCAGCATTGAAAAAAACAAAAATTGAGAGATTTCATAGAAAAAAATATTAGGATTCCCAGCTTATTCTAAAACACCAAAAAGATCTGTCAAGCTGGGTCTGAGGTCTTACTCATTTATAATACCTGCCTGCCATGGAGGAATTTGACTTTGTGACCCTTGATCTTATTTCACCCCCTAATTTGGTGGTGGGGAATGCTGAAGCCTGGAGAAAGGGAGCCAGGAATGACTAGCTCTATCAAAACAGGCGTGAATGGGGGTCAGGGGTCCCACTGCCACACCTTGCTTGGCCTGCTTGTATTCACTAAGTCATTCCACTTCACTGAGCCTCAGTTCCCCTGTCTGTGAAATGGGTACCACAGCAGCAGCAGCTATCTTTCAGGGTACTTTGAAGATTAAATAAAATGATGCTGTGAGTACAGGACACTCAAAGAATGTAACTTTCTACCCTTCCCTCTGGGCAAGGTGGGTCTGGGGATGGCTGCCCTCTTACCTGTTCACCCAAGGCCAGGCAAGTCACAATTATCCAGTGTTGCTGATAATTTCGGGAGGCAGGGGGCCCAAAGAAAGCCAGACTGATGCTGTGTGTGTCCTCAGAGGTGACGTTCCGGAAGAACTTGGATGGCTCGAGAACCCAGGGTCTGGGACCTTCTTCGAACAGCATCTCCTTTGAGGAGCCAAGGGTCACCAAAGCAACAGAGGAGGGATCTACAGCCTATGGAAGAAAAAAAGAGAAAAGTCAGCCTTCCTCTGAGAGGCGCATGTTGGAGGCCCTGCCCTGCCGCCTGCAGGTCACGAAAGACGCTGTTCCTCTTTGGAAGTCAGTGTGTCTGCAATGCTCCCTGGGGTCTTGGTGCAAGAGTACTCTGGGGAGAATTCTATCCTCCTTTCTGATATACTGCTGGGGGGAAGTGAGCATAAATTAATCTGCCTCTTTCATAAAACAATCCAGCATAAGCCCTGAAAATACCCACAGCCCCTGGAACCAGAACACGCCTCTGGAATCTAACCTAAGGACAGAATAGGAAGAAGAGAAACAAGTTCATGCACAAAGAAATGTTCTCCACACTGTTATGTCCTACAGCAAATCACCAGGGCTGCTTAAGTAAATGGTACATCTACAGGGACCTGGGCAGGTCCCTAAGGTAGTATTTACAAATAGCTGGGCACAAAACTGACTATACAGTTTGATCACAACCATGTTGTGTTAAAAAGCAAAAAACTTTAATCCTAAGAGGAAATACATCAGATGACCAAGGAAAACACAAACTATGTGTCCTCGATGGCATAATTATTGTTTGTTTCCTTTATTTTTTACTCTACTGCATTTCCCTCACTTTCTACAATGTATATATAAGCTTCAGGGGACTGGCCTTTCTACCCATTTTGTTGCCAGCACCCAGAACAGTGCCTGGGACATAGTAGGTGCTCAATCATTATTTGTTGAATGAAAGAATGAACATTAAGTCCTGAGAGTACCTGATAACCAAAGAATGAATTAAAATCATTTTTTAATTAAAAGCTCTCATCTGCTTTCCCAGGCTAGGGTGATTGTTGTGCTGAGGTCCCAGGGGTTCCTGCATGGATGATGGCAGTGCTTAGGGTCTGTGGAAAAGGGGATCATTCCTATTCTATAGCAGAGGGAGGGATAGCACCTGTAGAAAAATGTGGCTTGCCCCATACAAGGACACCTCCCTCTAGAGACACAGCTGGGGTGCAAGGAAGAAGAGGGCCCTGCAGCCCTGCCCTGTGACTCCTTGCCAGCGCTTGGCTGATCTCCTGCTCTAGACGGTCCTACTCAGGTTACCACCAAGTCGTTATTTGTCAATCTGCTTTCCTGTTAGTCCCTCCACTCTAACCTCTAAGAGCTTCCAGATGTCCCTTCCTAAAACACAGATCTGACCATGTCTCCTCTGCATTAAATAATTCCACAGTGCCAGGTGCCCTGAGAAGAAAGGCTGAGTTAGCATTCTGCCGTGAAGTTAGGGCTCTCCCAGCTTGGTCCTTGCCTGATTTCTCCCTAGTCTCACCTTCAGAATAGCCTGTCTCTAGGCTGCCCTGCCCTTCATCTAATCCTTCCTCCAAGCAGCCCCCAATTCCTCCCTCACCAGGTGACACCCAGTCTTCCAGACCAACAACTCAGTCTCTGGTTCTGGCTTCAAATGTTGCTCATCATACTGCAAGGAAATTATTTGTTTGGGTATCTGTCTCCTGATCAGGCTATGAGCTCATTAAAGGTAGGGAGGGCATGTCTGTTTCCTTCTGTACCTGCATCATGATCTCAAACACATGAGAAATGAAACACCATATAGAAATTAAAATATTCAAAACAAAGATAAGAACTTAAACTACACTATGATATTATGTCTCAGCCATGTGATTAGCAAAAATCCAAAAGTTTGAATGTTCCAGCATACACACTGCTGGTGAATCTGGTGAATATGTAGATAATTGTGTACTCTTTTTTAAAAATCAATTTATTAATTTTGGCCCAATACATGTGCCTTCCACTGCAGTATGCTATCTTATCTCTGCATTATCTACGAGGTCTGAGGTCTATGCTGACAGATTTCAATCAGTCATCCTCTGATTTCAATCAGCTCCTTCCATATTCTTACCCTCATAGGAGCTGGATATGGATCTATCAACAGTATGAAGTCCTTGTAGGTATAGGCTGATAACCACTCAGCTGTCACCCACAGTCTTGGACCCGGAGCTGTGCCCCAACCAGATGCCACCTCAGTGTGGAGACGGACTCTCGCCTTAGTGATAGCTTTAAGATGCATACATCCTCAAGGACAGAGTGAGGGGCTAAGGTGATGATCTACAGAGGCCTATGGGCTCAGGTTCTCTTGGTGGAGTACTTACACTAAACACTTATCAAAGAAAGGACATCACATTTCAATGAGAATTCTGTCCTTTTGACTTTAATTTTTTGCAAGATGAACACTTCTGAATTTGCTATCAATTATCAACTCTCCGGGCATCCTTCCCTGCACACGTGCACAGGTATGTATATACACATAGTTCCAAGGAGCCTGGGGTGTCCCCATTGACACCCACTCCTAGACATTACCTTGCTACACACCCAGGTTTTGAAACCATCAAAATGGTCCTTTTCCTGCACATAAATTGCTAAGCATGCTCAGGGCCTTTGGCTTTTCCACCCTGGACCTCCCCTCAAGAGAGTCACATGGCTCAGACTTTTGCTTCAACATCACCTCCTCTGTGAACCTCTGTCTAGAGCAGGACCTCCCATCACTTGTTACCTCCTTTCCTGGGTCGACACCCTTATCACTACTTGCAATCACTTTTTATATATTCATTTGTCCATTTGCTTCTCTACTTCCACAACTAGAATGAAGCTGCCACTTGTTAGATACGTAACCCTAAGCAGGTTAACTTCTACAAAGCTCAGTCTCTCATTCTGTAAAATGGGTATAAGGAGAACTCCTGTCTCATAGGGTTAGATTCAAGGG